TGGTGTAGCCAGGTCTTTAATCTGCGCAATAAGGCTGAGAAAGAGCGCTCAGAGGCCGCGACAGATATCCAGACAGATATCCAGACAGATATCCAGACAGATATCCAGACAGATATCCAGACAGATATCCAGACAGATATCCAGACAGATATCCAGACAGATATCCAGACAGATATCCAGACAGATATCCAGACAGATATCCAGACAGATATCCAGACAGATATACAGACAGATATCCAGACAGATATCCAGACAGATATCCAGACAGATATCCAGACAGATATACAGACAGATATCCAGACAGATATCCAGACAGAGCGTCATAAGCTTCTCCTCATCCGACAGCATGGAGCGGGTTTGGGGCTGCAAGGAGCGCAGGAGACGCAACATCTCGAATCATGATAACTTCTCGCTCCCGGCACACCCTCCGCACCCCTAGTTCCAACGTCTATGGACCAGAGAGACCAGAGAGACCAGAGAGACCAGAGAGACCAGAGAGATGGACCAGAGAGACCAGAGAGACCAGAGAGACCAGAGAGACCAGAGAGATGGACCAGAGAGACCAGAGAGACCAGAGAGACCAGAGAGATGGACCAGAGAGACCAGAGAGATGGACCAGAGAGACCAGAGAGACCAGAGAGACCAGAGAGACCAGAGAGACCAGAGAGACCAGAGAGATGGACCAGAGAGACCAGAGAGATGGACCAGAGAGACCAGAGAGACCAGAGAGATGGACCAGAGAGACCAGAGAGACCAGAGAGATGGACCAGAGAGACCAGAGAGATGGACCAGAGAGACCACAGAGAGACCAGAGAAACCAGAGAGAGAGACCAGAGAGATGGACCAGAGAGACCAGAGAGAGACCAAAGAGAGATCAGAGAGAGGCCAGAGAGAGACCACAGAGCCTAAAGTGAGAGACCAGCGAGAGAGAGAGAGAGGGACCGGAGACTATAGTCAGACACCAGAGAGAGACCAGAGAGAGAGAGCGCGCCCATAGAGAGCGAGCCCATAGAGAAACCAGATAGGAAGACCAGGGAGAGACCAGGGAGAGACCAGGGAGAGACCAGGGACAGATATTTACAGTGAGGTGAAGTGGCCTCTGCTCCTGTCTCTCTTCAGATCGATGACTATTGTTCCGCTGCAGTATTTATCCTGTTCCTCCTCAAAGACGTCAAGGTCAGAGGCAATCGATGATGGTTCAGAGAGACACAGAGAGAGAGACCAGAGAGAGAGACCAGAAAGAGAGAGAGAGATTAGAGAGAGAGACAGAGAGAGAGAGACCAGAGAGAGAGACACAGAGAGAGAGACCAGAGACCAGAGAGAGAGACCAGAAAGAGAGAGAGAGATTAGAGAGAGAGACAGAGAGAGAGAGACCAGAGAGAGAGACACAGAGAGAGAGACCAGAGACCAGAGAGAGAGACCAGAAAGAGAGAGAGAGATTAGAGAGAGAGACAGAGAGAGAGAGACCAGAGAGAGAGACAGAGAGGGAGAGATCAGAGAGACAGACACAGAGAGAGAGAGAGACCAGAGAGAGAGAGAGAGATCAGAGAGAGAGACAGAGAGAGAGAGAGAGACCAGAGAGAGAGACAGACAAAAAGAGAGAGACAGAGAGAGAGACAGACCAGAGAGAGAGACAGAGAGAGAGGCAGAGAGAGACAGACACAGAGAGACAGACACAGAGAGAGAGAGAGAGAGACCAGAGAGAGACAGACACAGAGAGAGAGACAGAGCGAGAGACAGAGCGAGAGAGAGACCAGAGAGAGAGACAGAGAGAGGCAGAGAGAGACAGACACAGAGAGAGAGACAGAGAGAGACAGAGAGAGAGAGAGACAGACACAGAGAGAGAGACAGAGAGAGAGAGAGAGAGAGAGAGAGAGACACAGAGAGAGAGACAGACACAGAGAGAGAGAGACCAGAGAGAGAGAGACCAGAGAGAGACAGACACACAGACAGACACAGAGAGAGAGACACAGAGAGAGACGCACAGAGAGAGAGACAAACAAAGAGGGAGACACAGAGAGAGAGACAAACAAAGAGGCAGACACAGAGAGACACAAAGAAAGGACCATAGAGACACAGAGACTGATTTGAAAATGAGCTGCAGCCTATTTCCTTATATGGGCATTTCTATCACAGGAAGAAACAGGGGCAGATGTGTTGGTTTTCTATGGTCTTTCTCTGGTCTTTCTCTCTGGTCTCTCTCTGGTCTTTCTATGGTCTATCTATGTGTCCCTCTCTCTCTTTCTGGTCTCTCTCTCTCTGGTGTCTGTCTCCTCTCTAACTCTATCTCTCTGTCGGCGGCACGGTGGCTGAGTGGATAGCACTCTCGCCTCTCAGCAAGAAGGTCCTGGGTTCGAATCCTGGCCGGACCAGGGCCTTTCTGAGTGGAGTTTGCATGTTCTCCTCGTGTCTGCGTAGGTTTCCTCCGGGTACTCCGGTTTCCCCTACCACTAAAAATATGTACAATAGGTCTGGCATGCGCCTCCTGTACTGGCGACCCCGCTCCCATCTCTGTGTGGAGTGAGAGACAAATGCCCAAAAAATAATAACAATTGTAAACCGCTTTGTGACTCTGGTCTGTGAAAGGCGGTATATAAATAAAGCTTACTTACTTACTTACTGTCTCTCTCTCTCTGGTTTCTCTTCTTCCCCCTCTCGCTGATCTCTATTCTCTCTCTCTCTGGTCTCTCGGTATTCTCTCACACTGTCTCTCTATCTCTTTCTCTCTCTGTCTCTCTCTAGTCTCTCTTCTTCACCCTCTTCTCTTGTCTCTAGTCTCTCTCTCCGGTGTCCGTCTCCTCTCTCTCCGTCTCTGCTCCCCCCTCTCTCTGGTCTCTTTTCTTTCTCTCTGGTCTCTCTCCCTCTCTCTGGTCTCTCTTCTCGCTCCCCCCGCCCTCTCTCTCCTCTCTCTCTTCCTCTGGTCCCTCTCTCTGTCTCTGGTTTATCTTCTTCCCCCTCTTTTCTGGTCTCTATTCTCTCTCTCTCTGGTCTCTCGGGCTTCTCTCACACTGTCTCTCTCTCTCGCTCTGTCTCTCCCTCTGGTTTCTCTGCTCCCCCTCTCTCTGGTCTCTTTTCTTTCTCTCTAGTCTCTTTTGGTGCTATACCCGCCCTCTCTCTCTCTCTCTCTGGTCTCTCTCTGGTCTCTCTACTCCCCCCTCTTCTCTTGCCTCTATTCTCTCTCTCTCCCTCTCTCTCTCTCTCTGGTGTCTGTCTCTCTCTCTCTGTCTCCCTCTCTCTCTGGTCTCTCTCGCTCTCTCTCTCTGTGTCCCTCTCTCTCTTTCTGGTCTCTCTCTCTCTGTTGTCTGTCTCCTCTCTAACTCTATCTCTCTGTCTCTCTCTCTCTGGTTTCTCTTCTTCCCCCTCTCGCTGATCTCTATTCTCTCTCTCTCTGGTCTCTCGGTATTCTCTCACACTGTCTCTCTCTCTCCCTCTGGTTTCTCTGCTCCCCCTCTCTCTGGTCTCTTTTCTGTCTCTCTGGTCTCTCTCCCTCTCTCTAGTCTCTCTTCTCGCTACACCCGCCCTCTCTCCCTCTCTCTCTCTCTCTCCCCCCGCCCTCTCTCTCTGGTCTCTCGGTATTCTCTCACACTGTCTCTCTCTCCCTCTTTCTCTCTCTCCCTCCTAGAGAGAGACCAGACAGAGACCTAGACAGAGAGATCAGAGAGAGACCAGAGAGAGACCAGAGAGAGACCAGAGAGAGACCAGAGAGAGACCAGAAAGAGAGCAGAGAGAGACCAGAGAGAGACCAGAGAGAGAGATCAGAGAGAGACCAGAGAGAGACCAGAGAGAGACCAGCAAGAGGGACCAGAGAGAGACCAGAGAGAGACCAGAGAGACCGGATGTAAATTAGAGACCGGAGAGAGACCAGAGACCTCTACTGCTGTGGTTTGATAGTCACGTACCCGAGCTTTAAACAAGATCATTCGCTTCAAAACACTGCGTTCCCCAAAGTCTCTATCGTCTGGTCTCTACCCTCAGTCTCTATCGTCTGGTCTCTACCCTCAGTCTCTATCGTCTGGTCTCTACCCTCAGTCTCTATCGTCTGGTCTCTACCCTCAGTCTCTCATCTCTCATCTCCGCATCAGAACCTGTGTCTGATTGTTCTCGCCGCCGTCGCTGATTTCCCAAGGACAGAGCCCAACGTGGACCGAGTCTCGCGGATCTCGTTCTGGTCTTTAATTGATCTGTTGATTAGATTCTGTGGCTTCATCAGAACGTCTGCTTTTAATAGTCCTGTAATGACGACCCCCCCCCCCCCCCCCTCCCCAGCTTCAATTAGAATAGTAATAGGCTCTAATTAACTCTAAAAAAAGAGAGATTTGTGCAAAAAGACGAGATCGGAGCAGATTACTCATTTTCATTAACTCGGTTCGCTCAAATATTTGATCCGAGGGCGAAGCCTAAACCTGTCTTTGTTTCTCATAATGAAGACACTGATGAGGGAATTTTAATTTAATTTTTTAATTTTCTCGTGAGGGCAAAGATTGAAGCCGCGAGTGGGGGATAAAACACACACTGTAAAGATAGAGCTGGACCATGCTAATACAGAGAAGCTAACACGGAGAAGCTAACACGCAGAAGCTAACACGCAGAAGCTAACACGCAGAAGAACACGCGGAAGCTAACACGCAGAAGCTAACACGCAGAGGCTAACACGCAGAGGCTAACACGCAGAAGCTAACACGTTAGCTCGATGGAGAAGCAACAGGGACGTGGTGAAGTTTGGCTCCAGCTTGCTTTCTCTGTTCTCTCTCAGGCCTCTCTCCCTGGTTTCTCTTTATCAGGTCTCTCTCAGGTCTCTCTCTGGTCTCTCTATCTCTAGACCAGATAGAGAGACCAGAGAACCAGTGCGATCAGAGAGGGACCAGAGTGAGCGTTGTTTTTAGGACGTTGTCATAGATACGAGGCAAAACAAACTTTAACCCGCCTCTTCTGTTCAGAGAACGTTTGTGTTTCCTCACAAAAATGACTTCTTTCACCCCTCTCTCAAACCAATTTTTGTCTCAAGCCAGAATTTTAACCTCAGTATCGTTCACGGTGTGGTTCATGGTGTGGCTCATGGTGTGGTTCACGGTGTGGTTCACGGTGTGGTTCACGGTGTGGTTCATGGTGTGGTTCACGGTGTGGTTCACGGTATGGTTCATGGTGTGGTTCATGGTGTGGTTCATGGTGTGGTTCATGGTGTGGCTCATGGTGTGGTTCACGGTGTGGTTCATGGTGTGGTTCACGGTGTGGTTCACGGTGTGGTTCATGGTGTGGTTCACGGTGTGGTTCATGGTGTGGTTCACGGTGTGGTTCACGGTGTGGTTCACGGTGTGGTTCACGGTATGGTTCATGGTGTGGTTCACGGTGTGGTTCACGGTGTGGTTCACGGTATGGTTCATGGTGTGGTTCATGGTGTGGTTCATGGTGTGGCTCATGGTGTGGTTCACGGTGTGGTTCACGGTGTGGTTCATGGTGTGGTTCATGGTGTGGTTCACGGTGTGGTTCACGGTGTGGTTCATGGTGTGGTTCACGGTGTGGTTCATGGTGTGGTTCACGGTGTGGTTCACGGTGTGGCTCATGGTGTGGTTCACAGTGTGGTTCACGGTGTGGTTCACGGTATGGTTCATGGTGTGGTTCACGGTGTGGTTCATGGTGTGGTTCACGGTGTGGTTCATGGTGTGGTTCACGGTGTGGTTCACGGTGTGGTTCATGGTGTGGTTCACGGTGTGGTTCACGGTGTGGTTCACGGTATGGTTCATGGTGTGGTTCATGGTGTGGTTCATGGTGTGGCTCATGGTGTGGTTCACGGTGTGGTTCACGGTGTGGTTCATGGTGTGGTTCATGGTGTGGTTCACGGTGTGGTTCACGGTGTGGTTCATGGTGTGGTTCACGGTGTGGTTCATGGTGTGGTTCACGGTGTGATTCACGGTGTGGCTCATGGTGTGGTTCACAGTGTGGTTCACGGTGTGGTTCACGGTATGGTTCATGGTGTGGTTCATGGTGTGGTTCATGGTGTGGTTCATGGTGTGGCTCATGGTGTGGTTCACGGTGTGGTTCACGGTGTGGTTCACGGTGTGGTTCATGGTGTGGTTCACGGTGTGGTTCACGGTGTGGTTCATGGTGTGGTTCACGGTGTGGTTCATGGTGTGGTTCACGGTGTGGTTCACGGTGTGGTTCATGGTGTGGTTCACGGTGTGGTTCACGGTGTGGTTCACGGTATGGTTCATGGTGTGGTTCATGGTGTGGTTCATGGTGTGGCTCATGGTGTGGTTCACGGTGTGGTTCATGATGTGGTTCACGGTGTGGTTCATGGTGTGGTTCATGGTGTCGTTCACGGTGTGGTTCATGGTGTGGTTCATGGTGTGGCTCATGGTGTGGTTCACGGTGTGGTTCATGGTGTGGTTCATGGTGTGGTTCATGGTGTGGTTCATGGTGTGGTTCACGGTGTGGCTCATGGTGTGGTTCACGGTGTGGTTCATGGTGTGGTTCATGGTGTGGTTCATGGTGTGGTTCATGGTGTGGTTCATGGTGTGGTTCATGGTGTGGTTCATGGTGTGGTTCATGGTGTGGTTCATGGTGTGGTTCATGGTGTGGTTCATGGTGTGGTTCATGGTGTGGTTCACGGTGTGGTTCACGGTGTGGTTCACGGTATGGTTCACGGTGTGGTTCATGGTGTGGTTCATGGTGTGGTTCATAATAATAATAATAATGCATTTTATTTCTTAGGCGCCTTTCAAGGCACTCAAGGTCGCCTCACAACAACAAGTAAATTAACATCAACAATTAAAAACAGTTAAAATACAATGTTAAAACAGCATGAATAAAACATACAGTTGTGGTCACAGTGAGTAGGCTTGTCTAAACAGATGAGTTTTGAGGATGGATTTGAAGTGTGGGAGTGAGTCGGTGTTACGGAGGTCCGGAGGGAGAGTGTTCCAGAGCTCGGGAGCAGAGCGACTGAAGGCTCTACTCCCCATGGTGACGAGATGGGCGGGAGGGGCAGCAGTGAGCCGGAGAGAGGAGGAGGAGCGGAGAGAGCGGGCAGGTGTGGAGACATGGAGGAGGTCAGTCAGGTATGGAGGAGCGAGCTTGTGGATTGCTTTGAATGTGAGGAGCAGGATTTTGTATTGGATGCGGTGGGTGATGGGGAGCCAGTGGAGCTGTTGAAGGACAGGAGTGATGTGGTTTATGGAGGGGGTGTGTGTGATGATGCGGGCGGCTGCATTTTGGACCAGTTGGAGTTTATGTAGAGTTTTTTGAGGGAGACCAAACAGCAGGGAATTACAGTAGTCGAGACGAGAGGTGACGAGGCTGTGTACAAGTATGGCAGTGGTGTGAGGGGAAAAAGAAGGGCGGAGCCGGCGGATATTTCTGAGGTGGAAGTAGGCGATGCGGGTGATGCTATTGATGTGTGCGGTGAAGGAGAGGGTGCTATCGAGGGTGACACCCAGACTCTTTACCTGAGGGGAGGGGGAAATGGAGGAGCCGTCAATGGGAATGGAGAAATTGCTGATTTTATTTAGGGTGGATTTGGTGCCAATGAGGAGGAGTTCAGTTTTATTGCTGTTGAGTTTGAGAAAGTTTGAAGTGAACCAGGACTTTATTTCATGGAGGCAGTTGGTGAGAGAGGACGGTGGGAGTGTGGAATTTGGTTTACTGGAGATGTAGAGCTGGGTGTCATCCGCGTAGCAGTGAAAGTGAATGTGGTGTTTTCTGAAGATGTAACCAAGCGGGAGAAGATAGATTAGGAACAGGATGGGGCCGAGGACAGAACCCTGGGGAACCCCTGAAGTGACTGGGAAGGGACGGGAAGTAAAAGATTTGAGCTGGATGAACTGGGTGCGGTCAGAAAGGTAGGAGCAGAACCAGGAGAGGGGAGTGTTTGTGATGCCAATGGAGGAGAGTCTGTCCAGAAGGATGGGGTGGGAGATAGTGTCAAAGGCTGCGCTGAGATCAAGCAGGAGGAGGATGGAGAGTGAACCGGAGTCAGCAGAGAGGAGAAGGTCGTTGGTGATTTTCAGGAGGGCAGTTTCATGGTGTGGTTCATGGTGTGGTTCATGGTGTGGTTCATGGTGTGGTTCATGGTGTGGTTCACAGATGTGGTCAGGTGTTAGTTTCGTTCTCTCCCCTAGTGTGGCGTCTTTCTGGAGGCTTTCTCTCACAGCCTCCACCGACTCTGTAGGAGGAGCCGCCTCTGTAGGAGGGGCCGCCTCTGTAGGAGGGGCCGCCTCTGTAGGAGGGGCCGCCTCTGTAGAAGGTGCCGCCTCTGTAGGAGGGGCCGCCTCTGTAGGAGGGGCCGCCTCTGTAGAAGGTGCCGCCTCTGTAGGAGGGGCCGCCTCTGTAGGAGGGGCCGCCTCTGTAGGAGGAGCCGCCTCTGTAGGAGGGGCCGCCTCTGTAGGAGGGGCCGCCTCTGTAGGAGGGGCCGCCTCTGTAGGAGGAGCCGCCTCTGTAGAAGGTGCCGCCTCTGTAGGAGGAGCCGCCTCTGTAGGAGGGGCCGCCTCTGTAGGAGGAGCCGCCTCTGTAGGAGGGGCCGCCTCTGTAGGAGGGGCCGCCTTTGTAGGAGGGGCCAACTCTGTAGGAGGGGCCGCCTCTGTAGGAGGGGCCGCCTCTGTAGAAGGTGCCGCCTCTGTAGGAGGAGCCGCCTCTGTAGAAGGGGCCGCCTCTGTAGGAGGGGCCGCCTCTGTAGGAGGGGCCGCCTCTGTAGGAGGGGCCAACCTGTAGGAGGGGCCGCCTCTGTAGGAGGGGCCGCCTCTGTAGGAGGAGCCGCCTCTGTAGGAGGGGCCGACTCTGTAGGAGGGGCCGCCTCTGTAGGAGGGGCCAACTCTGTAGGAGGGGCCGCCTCTGTAGGAGGGGCCGCCTCTGTAGGAGGGGCCGCCTCTGTAGGAGGAGCCGCCTCTGTAGGAGGGGCCAACTCTGTAGGAGGAGCCGCCTCTGTAGGAGGGGCCAACTCTGTAGGAGGAGCCGCCTCTGTAGGAGGGGCCGACTCTGTAGGAGGGGCCGCCTCTGTAGGAGGGGCCAACTCTGTAGGAGGGGCCGCCTCTGTAGGAGGGGCCGCCTCTGTAGGAGGAGCCGCCTCTCTGTAGGAGGGGCCAACTCTGTAGGAGGGGCCGCCTCTGTAGGAGGGGCCGCCTCTGTAGGAGGGGCCGCCTCTGTAGAAGGAGCCGCCTCTGTAGGAGGAGCCGCCTCTGTAGGAGGGGCCGCCTCTGTAGGAGGGGCCGCCTCTGTAGGAGGTGCCGCCTCTGTAGGAGGAGCCGCCTCTGTAGGAGGGGCCGCCTCTGTAGGAGGGGCCGCCTCTGTAGGAGGGGCCGCCTCTGTAGGAGGGGCCAACTCTGTAGGAGGGGCCGCCTCTGTAGGAGGGGCCGCCTCTGTAGGAGGGGCCGCCTCTGTAGGAGGGGCCAACTCTGTAGGAGGGGCCGCCTCTGTAGGAGGGGCCGCCTCTGTAGGAGGGGCCGCCTCTGTAGGAGGGGCCGCCTCTGTAGGAGGAGCCGCCTCTGTAGGAGGGGCCGCCTCTGTAGGAGGGGCCGCCTCTGTAGGAGGGGCCGCCTCTGTAGGAGGGGCCGCCTCTGTAGGAGGTGCCGCCTCTGTAGGAGGAGCCGCCTCTGTAGAAGGTGCCGCCTCTGTAGGAGGGGCGCCGCCTCTGTAGGAGGAGCCGCCTCTGTAGGAGGAGCCGCCTCTGTAGGAGGGGCCGCCTCTGTAGGAGGGGCCGCCTCTGTAGGAGGTGCCGCCTCTGTAGGAGGAGCCGCCTCTGTAGGAGGGGCCGCCTCTGTAGGAGGGGCCGCCTCTGTAGAAGGAGCCGCCTCTGTAGGAGGAGCCGCCTCTGTAGGAGGGGCCGCCTCTGTAGGAGGGGCCGCCTCTGTAGGAGGGGCCGCCTCTGTAGGAGGAGCCGCCTCTGTAGGAGGAGCGGCCTCTGTAGGAGGGGCCGACTCTGTAGGAGGGGCCGCCTCTGTAGGAGGGGCCGCCTCTGTAGGAGGGGCCGCCTCTGTAGGAGGGGCCGCCTCTGTAGGAGGAGCCGCCTCTGTAGGAGGAGCGGCCTCTGTAGGAGGGGCCGACTCTGTAGGAGGGGCCGCCTCTGTAGGAGGGGCCGCCTCTGTAGGAGGGGCCGCCTCATGATGTGAGATCCTGTTTTACGGCCACGGAGAAGAGGCACCTTCTTTAGACAGATTCATGGCTGTGCGATGGGCTCCCCAGTCTCTCCTATAGGGGCCAATCTGTATATGGAGAAACTGGAGGAACAAGCCCTGGGCTCTTACCAAGGGACAGCGCCAAGCCATTGGTTTGATATGTAGACGATACATGGGTTAAGTTAAAGAAACAGGAAGTGGAACCATTTTCAGAACACATTAACTCGGTGGACCCTTTTATAAATTTCACTCGCGAGGATGCTAAGGAGAGTGAACTGGCCTTTCTAGATTGTAAGGTCATCATACTGGAGAACGGACAATTAGAGACTGAGGTCTTCAGAAAGTCCACTCACACTGACCAGTACCTGGCCTTTGATTCAAATCATCCGCTACAACACAAACTCGGGGTCATTAGAACGCTTCAACACCGAGCCCACCAGGTCCCCACTAGGTCCCCACCAGGTCCCCACAAGCTCGGAGGGAAAGAACAGAGAAACCAAACATGTTCAGAGAGCACTTTCCAGATGTGGCTACCCCAAGTGGTCTTTTACTAAAGCCCAAAGGACGAGAAAGGCCAGAGACACAGTCCAACAGACAGAACAGGAGTGTCCTTACCATGTGTGGCGGGAGTTTCAGAGAAACTACAAAGAATCTTTAGGCAACACAAACTCCCTGTGTATTTCAAACCTTTAAGAAAGAAATTGATGCATCCCAAAGACAGAACAGACACAAACAGAGCAGTGTATTCAGGTAAATGCAGAGAAGAGGAGAACACTGACCGCTGTGTCGGAGAAACTAAACTCTACAGAAACCACTTCACCAACATCCTAGAGACAACTCTAGTGGGCCACGACCAGCTGTTCATCTGCACCTCAAGGCCACAGAGGTGCACACAAGTCTCTGACCCGCAAGTCCAAGTCAAGTCCAAGTCCCTAGCCCAGGAGTCCAAGTCAAGTCCAAGTCTCTGGACCCGCATGTCCAAGTCAAGTCCATGTGATATTTATATATTTATATATTCGGTGTAGTTTTGTGACGGCTGAACCTGACACCAACTTATCCAACAGTCTGCCTTCAACTTAACATGTACATGGTCCCTCACTGTCACATGGTTCACCTTCATGGTCTCTCTCTGGTCTATCTCTCTTTGGTCTCTCTCTCTGGTCTCTCTTTGGTCTCTCTCCTGGTCTCTCTTTGGTCTCTCTCTCTGGTCACTCTTTGGTCTCTCTCTCTGGTCACTCTTTGGTCTCTCTCCTGGTCTCTCTTTGGTCTCTCTCTCTGGTCACTCTTTGGTCTCTCTCCTGGTCTCTCTTTGGTCTCTCTCTCTGGTCACTCTTTGGTCTCTCTCTCTGGTCACTCTTTGGTCTCTCTCCTGGTCTCTCTTTGGTCTCTCTCTCTGGTCACTCTTTGGTCTCTCTCTCTGGTCTATCTCTCTTTGGTCTCTCTCTCTGGTCACTCTTTGGTCTCTCTCCTGGTCTCTCTTTGGTCTCTCTCTCTGGTCACTCTTTGGTCTCTCTCTCTGGTCACTCTTTGGTCTCTCTCTCTGGTCACTCTTTGGTCTCTCTCCTGGTCTCTCTTTGGTCTCTCTCTCTGGTCACTCTTTGGTCTCTCTCTCTGGTCACTCTTTGGTCTCTCTCCTGGTCTCTCTTTGGTCTCTCTCTCTGGTCACTCTTTGGTCTCTCTCTCTGGTCACTCTTTGGTCTCTCTCCTGGTCTCTCTTTGGTCTCTCTCTCTGGTCACTCTTTGGTCTCTCTCCTGGTCTTGGTCTAACTCAAACCAGACCAATCACATCGTCCTAAATCATAACAACCTCCCATAGTTGTAGTTTGAAAGTCACTTAGCTAACACAGCTACCACAACTAGCACAGCTAGCATGGCTGACACAGCTAACATGGCTAACACAGTTAGCATGGCTAACACAGCTAACACAGCTAACACAACTAGCACAGCTAGCATGGCTGACACAGCTAACATGGCTAACACAGTTAGCATGGCTAACACAGCTAACACAGCTAACACAACTAGCACAGCTAGCATGGCTGACACAGCTAACATGGCTAACACAGTTAGCATGGCTAACACAGCTAACACAGCTAACACAACTAGCACAGCTAGCATGGCTGACACAGCTAACATGGCTAACACAGTTAGCATGGCTAACACAGCTAGCATGGCTGACACAGCTAACATGGCTAACACAGTTAACATGGCTAACACAGCTAGCACAGCTAGCATGGCTGACACAGCTAACATGGCTAACACAGTTAGCATGGCTAACACAGCTAGCACAGCTAGCATGGCTGACACAGCTAACATGGCTAACACAGCTAGCATGGCTAACACAGCTAGCACAGCTAGCATGGCTGACACAGCTAACATGGCTAACACAGCTAGCGCCTTCTCCAAGCGTCTCAAGCCAAAGCCTCTCTGTGAGCGTGTGTCCAAATACTGCTTTGTCAAGAAACGGTGCGTTCTACAAATACATGACTCTTTTTGGACTTAAAAAAACCCTGATGCCCCGGAGCCACAGCCACAGCTACGAGAGGCGAGGAGCCGGATTTACTGTGGTTGGACCGAGACCAGCTGCAGGGTTCCAACACCAGAGTGTTTCGCAGAATCTTCAGCGGTAATTTAGCTTTGATCTAACGCCGAAAATGAGTCATTGAAGAAGGAGAAGAGGGGAGAAACAGGAGGGTCTCTCTTCCTATTTCTCTGGTTTCTCTTTTTCTCTCTCTAGTCTCTCCCTTGTCTCTCTCTGGTCTCTCTCTGGTCCCTCTCTCTGGTCTCTCTCTAGTCTCTCTCTGGTCTCTCTCTGGTCTCTCTCTGGTCTCTCTGGTCTCTCTCTGGTCTCTCTCTGGTCTCTCTGGTCTCTCTGGTCTCTCTCTGGTCTCTCTCTGGTCTCTCTGGTCTCTCTGGTCTCTCTGGTCTCTCTCTGGTCTCTCTCTGGTCTCTCTGGTCTCTCTGGTCTCTCTGGTCTCTCTCTGGTCTCTCTCTGGTCTCTCTCTCTGGTCCCTCTCTCTGGTCTCTCTCTAGTCTCTCTCTGGTCTCTCTCTGGTCTCTCTCTGGTCTCTCTGGTCTCTCTGGTCTCTCTCTGGTCTCTCTCTGGTCTCTCTGGTCTCTCTGGTCTCTCTCTGGTCTCTCTCTGGTCTCTCTGGTCTCTCTGGTCTCTTTGGTCTCTCTCTGGTCTCTCTCTGGTCTCTCTCTGGTCTCTCTCTGGTCTCTCTGGTCTCTCTCTGGTCTCTCTCTGGTCTCTCTCTGGTCTCTCTGGTCTCTCTGGTCTCTCTGGTCTCTCTCTGGTCTCTCTGGTCTCTCTGGTCTCTCTGGTCTCTCTGGTCTCTCTCTTGCCTCTCTCTGGTCTCTCTCTGGTCTCTCTGGTCTCTCTGGTCTCTCTCTTGCCTCTCTCTGGTCTCTCTCTGGTCTCTCTGGTCTCTCTGGTCTCTCTGGTCTCTCTGGTCTCTCTCTGGTCTCTCTGGTCTCTATAACACACCAACAAAAGGTTTATTTTGTCTGTAGTCTCACTTTGAAGAATTGTTTTAATGTAAATGTAAAGTAAGTTTCTTTGAAAGTTAATCTGAAAATGCAAATGAGCTCAACTCTAATGAAATAATAAAATACGTCTAAAACTCTGAGTTTAGTCCGTTTTCTGTTTCTCTGGTGTAGAACATTCACACTTTACTCCAGCTCACTCAATAACATGCAAACTTAGACCAGAGAGAGACCAGAGAGAGACCAGAGAGACCAGAGAGAGACCAGAGAGACCAGAGAGACCAGAGAGAGACCAGAGAGACCAGAGAGAGACCAGAAAGACCAGAGTGAGACCAGAGGGACCAGAGAGACCAGAGAGAGACCAGAGAGAGACCCTAGAGAGACCAGAGAGATCAGAGAGAGACCAGAGAGAGACCAGAAAGACCAGAGTGAGACCAGAGGGACCAGAGAGACCAGAGAGAGACCAGAGAGAGACCAGAGAGAGACCAGAGAGAGACCAGAGAGAGACCAGAGAGACCAGAGAGACCAGAGAGAGACCAGAAAGACCAGAGTGAGACCAGAGGGACCAGAGAGACCAGAGAGAGACCAGAGAGAGACCAGAGAGAGACCAGAGAGAGACCAGAGAGAGACCAGAGAGAGACCAGAGAGAGACCAGAGAGAGACCAGAGAGAGACCAGAGAGAGCCCAGAGAGAGACCCTAGAGAGACCCTAGAGAGACCAGAGAGAGACCAGAGAGAGACCAGAGAGAGACCAGAGAGAGACCAGAGAGACAAGAGAGAGACCAGAGAGAGACCAGAGAGAGACCAGAGAGACAAGAGAGAGACAAGAGAGAGGCCAGAGAGAGACCAGAGAGAGACCAGAGAGAGACCAGAGAGACAAGAGAGAGACCAGAGAGAGACCAGAGAGAGACCAGAGAGACAAGAGAGAGACAAGAGAGAGACCAGAGAGAGACCAGAGAGAGACCAGAGAGAGACGCACAAACCTTGGACACATTCCTTCATAATAGCAGCACATAATTCAATCTGGACGCTCCTGGACTGTGATGGTGTTGAGATGGGGACAGGCCAAATTACTCCCCCTCCTCCCCCTCCTCCTCCCCCGCGTGCGCAAAGAGAGGAAAAATTAATTTGTCAGATCAAAAAATATTTTTAATTTGAGCCCAGATCAAACGGCCCAGCCGCTGGTGTCTCTCTCATCTGCGCTGGATTTCTCTCTTTCCTTTAATTAAAAGCTCGTATGTATCAATGCGGCGTGAAAGCGTCGCCGCAGCGCACGCAGCAGCGCACGCAGCAGCGCACGCAGCAGCGCACGCAGCAGCGCACGCCGCCGCGCACGCCACAGCGCACGCCACAGTGCGCGGCCGGACAGCACTAATCTTTGGGTAATTATTTTTTAATTGAATCTTTTGAACACAAAGCTGCAGCAGATGCTGCGAGAGTCACTGCTTTGTTTTAGTTTGATCTGATCTCAGAAGAACAAACTCTACTCTACTCTTCTCTACTCTACTCTACTCTACTCTACTCTACTCTACTCTACTCTACTCTACTCTACTCTACTCTACTCTACTCTACTGTACCCTACTCTACCCTACTCTACTCTACTGTACTGTACCCTACTCTACTCTACTGTACCCTACTCTACTCTACTCTACTCTACTGTACCCTACTCTACTCTACTCTACTGTACTCTACTCTACTCTACTCTACTCTACTGTACCCTACTCTACTGTACCCTACTCTACTCTACTCTACTCTACTCTACCCTACCCTACTCTACTCTACTCTACTCTACTCTACTCTACTCTACCCTACCCTACCCTACCCTACCCTACCCTACCCTACCCTACTCTACTCTACTCTACTCTACTCTACTCTACTCTACCCTACCCTACCCTACCCTACCCTACTCTACTCTACTCTACTCTACTCTACTCTACTGTACCCTACTCTACTCTACTGTACCCTACTCTACTCTACTCTACTCTACTCTACTCTACTCTACTCTACTCTACTCTACTCTGTTAGGCTCTACTCTACTCTACTCTACTCTACTCTACTGTACCCTACTCTACTCTACCCTACTCTACTGTACCCTATCCTACTCTACTCTACTGTACCCTACTCTACTCTACTCTACTGTACTCTACTGTACCCTACTCTACTCTACTCTACTCTACTCTACTCTACTGTACCCTACTCTACCCTACTCTACTCTACCCTACTCTACTGTACCCTACTCTACTCTACTCTACTGTACTGTACTCTACTCTACTCTACTGTACCCTACTGTACCCTACTCTACTGTACCCTACTCTACTCTACTCTACTGTACCCTACTGTACCCTACTCTACTCTACTCTACTGTACTCTACTCTACTCTACTCTACTCTACTCTACTGTACCCTACTCTACTCTACTGTACCCTACTCTACTCTACTCTACTCTACTCTACTCTACCCTACCCTACCCTACCCTACCCTACTCTACTCTACTCTACTCTACTCTACTGTACCCTACTGTACCCTACTCTACTCTACTCTACTCTACTGTACCCTACTGTACCCTACTCTACTCTACTCTACTGTACCCTACTCTACTCTACTCTACTCTACTCTACCCTACCCTACCCTACCCCTACCCTACCCTACTCTACTCTACTCTACTCTACTCTACTCTACTGTACCCTACTCTACTCTACTCTACTCTACCCTACTCTACTGTACCCTATCCTACTCTACTCTACTGTACCCTACCCTACTCTACTCTACTCTACTGTACCCTACCCTACTCTACTCTACTGTACTCTACTGTACCCTACTCTACTCTACTCTACTCTACTCTACTGTACCCTACTCTACTCTACCCTACTCTACTGTACCCTACTCTACTGTACTGTACTGTACTGTACTCTACTCTACTCTACTGTACCCTACTTTACCCTACTCTACTCTACTGTACCCTATTCTACTCTACTCTACTCTACTCTACTCTACTGTACCCTACTGTACCCTACTCTACTCTACTGTACCCTACTCTACTCTACTCTACTCTACTCTACTGTACCCTACTCTACTCTACTCTACTCAACTCTACCCTACCCTACCCTACCCTACCCTACTCTACTCTACTCTACTCTACTGTACTCTACTGTACCCTACTCTACTCTACTCTACTGTACCCTACTCTACTCTACTCTACTCTACTCTACTGTACCCTACTCTACTCTACTCTACTCTACTCTACCCTACCCTACCCTACCCTACTCTACTCTACTCTACTCTACTCTACTCTACTCTACTGTACCCTACTCTACTCTACTCTACTCTACTCTA